CATCATACTATTCTTAACTCTTTGCATCCTGTGGGCAATAAGAGGACGTTTTAGCAAGTCCATCGTGAATTCGGCCAGGCCTACAATGAAACGGCAGGATGGTGAGGGACGGGGTCCGACATATCCGTACGGACCACCTCGAAAATTTTCTGATCCCGGATCCACGGAGCATTAAGGATCAGACCTTAGTCACTCGGCCATCTTTGATGAAATTTTAATTTAAAAATAAGAATTAAATGTTTGGATCTAAGTACAGTGAAAACTGCTTAGGCGACCACCTGCATTCGACGGGCACCTGTCAAAATGGGCAAAAATTTCTGGGCAAAAATGGGCACGGAATAGTTTACCCATAGAGTCTTTGTATAAGTTACTTGTGTAACGCGACCGCGGGCATCGATTTTTGGTCCGAAACAACATATAACACCTGTAATAAGCGACCATTTTCGCGAATGTATCTGGTCTAAACTATTGTAAGAACTAGTGTTGTAACGAATAGTATATTCGGCCTCAGGCCGAAAACCGAATATTCGGCCAGGAGCGTGGCCGAATAGCCGAATATTCGGCTTGATTAACGCACGTACGAAAATTGGCGCGCAAACCGCATTATGGCAAGGATCCTGCTCTCTATTGGCCCGCTGTCACTACGCTTCGCCAATCGCGTTAATTCTTGGCAGTTGTAGCCGACAGACAAGAGTGTCATGGAAGTATGTGATAAATGATGATATCAAATGACCTACACTTGTAAATAATGGAAAGAGAACAGAGAAGGACCGCGAAGTGAAAATGTGAAAATAAATATGAAATTGAGTTGATAACATAATCGAACAAGTCGAGGCAGCTTATTGGCACGAAATTCGCGCCCGTCAATGTCAAACAATTGTTGTCATAGACTTCGGAAAGCTAAATGCTTGTAATGAAAGTCACTTAGCGTGCACGGGCGAAAGCCTGGGGCCGTTCGGGCTATCAAGCTGTCTCGAATCTGTGAAATCATAACTGTGACTTATATCGACGTCCTATCTGTCTCTTTTCTCCGTTATCACCAGGCTGAGTCACGTAATTGTAAAATGGGAACTCTACGACGGAAAAGTGACGAATCGAAAGTATCGTGAGCGCGTATTATGATGTATGCATAGGCATACATGGATTAGAGCGATAGAGGAAAGAGAAAGGGAAGAGCAAAGACGAGCGCTTAAAAAGAAGGATAGGCCCTAGGGTCAGACCCTCAGATGTGCGACTATTCTCGAACGAATAAGTGTGTACGTGTGCTGATCTTTGTAATTATAAATTTTGAATACATGTGACTAGTATTATTTTCTTTTTTATTTTGTGCATGTTTCAAGTTATAAATAAATATAAACAAACAACACTAACACATTAAATCTAAGTACCAAAATGATTAATTTACTGTGTTTTTGTTATTTATTACTCCTGTTTTTAGGTATTCGGCCGAATAGTGATTAAATATTCGGTATTCGGCCGAATAGTGAAAAATAGGCCGAATACCGAATAGTAACCGAATATTCGTTACATCACTAGTAAGAACCCATCTCAACAACGTTTCCCCCTCCTAATATAATAAATTCGTCTACACTCTTGTTCGAACCCATCCCGGGCACTTCTCCCACCCTCTAAATTAGGTGCAGGTGTTAATAAATTAGTCTAGCAACAAAAGAAATTCATTTGTTTGTTGGAAAATGTCTGAAAAACAAAAGAAATGTGCTGTCGTTAGAAGATCGTATTAAAGTTATCACAACAGCAATTAGCAGCGAAGTTTAACTGTAGGAAAACGAAATTGATTTTACCGTAGACCTACCGTATTTTCCTTGGGGGGTGTAAAATATTGTACACGATACAATTAATCTGCTGATCTCATCGTTTGATAAAATCTATTTTTATTTATTTATTTTGAAGCTCATATACAGTACACGTGCGATATATAGCTTCTGTATCAACCTACCTTATTTCCACGATATTTTCAGAAAAATAATATCCAAGTAATTTTCTCACGCAAAATATTCAAAAAAACAATAAACGCATTAATGCAAAAATCAGTTTTACTTCCTTTTTCGATTCCGCGATTGTAATGAAATCGTATAATGAGAAAAAATAATAAATACAGTATTTAAAAAATACAGTATTTTTAAAGTTAAAATAAGATTAAACTAACGAAAAGCAAAGTGATGGATAGATAGGACGCGCTTGTATATTGATGACGTAATACACGTAACTGTGGAGAGAATGAAACGAACCGAGTCGAATTAATTAAGTCGGAAAAAAAGTAAATGTGCATTATAATCGAGAAAATGCAAGTATTGTATTAATCTTTAAAATATAATACAATACCAATATAGCCCTATCGTTGAAAAAATTCGCTTATTTTTTCTCACCTCGAGTTTTGCTTAGTAGAAATGGCTAAAAAGTGCGCAAAATACATACGGAAATACGTTATTACAGGACCACCTGTATTGGACGACCACCTGTCTAAAAGATCACTTTTTGAAGGAACCGTGGGTGGTCGCTATAGACAGGCTTTACTGTATTTGAACACGATTTATTGTATTTCGAAAATGAGAAAATGTCAATAGCCTTTCAGACTTCTTTTTCCAACGTTTTCAGCAAATAACATTGCCAATTTTCACTAAATAAATAGTAACTTATAAAAACTAGGTTACAAACTAAATATCCACTGAAAAGTTGCCAAAACGTTCTCTTCAAAGCATTGCTAATTGTTATTTCATTTTGAATAAATTTTCATTGTACTGTGAATTCAACCGAAATTAAACATGGAAGAAGTTTCGACCTAAATTGTAAGCGATTCACATAAATAAATGAGCGGTAGAGGAGAGGATTAATGGCGTAATATAACGCAACTCTTGGACGTTCTTCCAAGGTGGTGCCTTCTTCCCGGAGGACTTTCTATAGGAAACTGTTATTTAACTCCACGCTGTCAGCCCATTGTTCAGGCACGAATCCATGATTAGTGTATAGTTCTTTTATCCATTCGTCTACTGGTGCGCTCAACGATTGGATACACTATTTAAATTATGCACTGTTATGTATAGATTATACGATCGAACTCGGTTTTATTCGTTATTGGACTGATGAAAGTCCTCCTCCTTCGGCAGATCGTCCGTGCGTGAACAGATAAACCAAACCGATGGCATGTACTGTACAGTATATATATATACACATCGTGTGTCCTCCGGAAAGTTTTGGATTTCATTCTCATGTAGAAGTTCAACGCGAAAAGGAAGAACACATACACGTGTTTACCGATTAAAACAAGTTTAATTTCGCGCTGAATTTGATATATATATACACAGATTAGGTGTGGATTCCCGCTGTCCTCTAGACGTTTCCAACAATCCTCGGTGATCAGGTATAACAGTAGACCGGTAGTTAACTCCTCTACAACTATCTCCCGACAATTAATTTACACGCGCGAGCCTTAACCTAACTTAAAACTAATAGATAGAATAGGAAGAAAGGGAAATGAGAAGAATCAAAGGACGAAGGGTACCCAATTTCCAGCGACGAAAGTTCCTAGTCTCGGCTTCCCACGCTCGTCTGTTTCTCTTCGAGTCCGGCCTAAGAATAATTCTGGAATCTCTCCTTTTCCCCTCCAGCCTCGTTGCCGTCTATTGTTCTAACCCTACCTCCTGATGGGTTAGGGGTGAGACGAGTTCTCGGAAGGCCGAGACAAAGAAACAAAGAAATCGGAAAGAAGGATTATTCTACAGAAATAGAATTTAAATTAAAACNACCCAATTTCCAGCGACGAAAGTTCCTAGTCTCGGCTTCCCACGCTCGTCTGTTTCTCTTCGAGTCCGGCCTAAGAATAATTCTGGAATCTCTCCTTTACCCCTCCAGCCTCGTTGCCGTCTATTGTTCTAACCCTACCTCCTGATGGGTTAGGGGTGAGGCGAGTTCTCGGAAGGCCTAGACAAAGAAACAAAGAAATCGGAAAGAAGGATTATTCTACAGAAATAGAATTTAAATTAAAACTAAACTATACAGAATAATCTAAAAAAAAAGCATGTATGTAACCACACTAAAATGTGAATTTTTCTCGAGATTATAATGTCTTGAATTATTTAGTTTTTTCGATTTGATGGAAACACGCAAGCGATCTTCTACGGGGTGCCTCCCGGGAAGACCTATTGGAAAATTGGCGCCTATTTAGGTGTTAGACACGTGAAGAAAACCCAGAAAAGCGGCCAGAACGTTGTTCGGGTGCTAACTCTCGACCAACTATCAATGTTCGGGGGGGTTTCATGCACTCGGCCTCTGATGCACCCAAGTAGTTCGCTGCTGAATGGCCGAGCGGTTAGGGTAACAGCCAGCCGCCGTGGGATCCGGGATCGAATCCGACCGGTGGAAAAATTCCAGGAATATTTCGGACCCGACCCGTCACCACCCGTGCTCCCCATTGTGGGCCCAACCGAGCCTATAACGGGCTAGTTAAAAAAGCCTTCATAGCGCTTGGGTAAGTCTTTCCGCCTTACCCAAGCGGTTTTTCAAACATATTATAAAAACAATTAATATATATTTCANAATGAAGATATTTATCTTAATTATGAAAATATACTAGCATGTTTTTTAATTTTTGGAACCTAACCCTCCTTTTCGTATTAGTTCTTTGTTTCGTATAACATGGATTCGCATAACATGGCAATTTTTTGGAACGTAACTACTGTGTTATACGGGGGTTACCTGTACTTATCCTATAAATAGAGATTGAAGCTTTCTTGAGGATGAAACTAAAAGTAAAGTATTTAGTTTCCTCCTCTTTCTACAAAATGAAATAGCTCAAAAATTTGTATTTTATCTATCAATTTTGAATAGATAAAGAATAAATTTTTATTTTGTATTTGTTATATTAAGTATTATTTTAATTTATTGATAAATTATTTTATGTTAAAGATAATTTTTCTTAGAAATAAATATTTTAATTTTGAAAATTAATCACATGGTACATAATACTTATATCTAATGTACAGGAATGTCCTTTACAGACATCAATCAGTGAATCTCCCAACAAACTTTCTCAAGTAACAGAAAGATCACGTACTTCTCCTCTTCCTTCTACTACAGATCCACAGCCAGGTTTGGAGAATTATAATCACAAAAATTTATAACCATTAAGCGCACACATGAAAGAAAAATTCACGATCAATTATATAAAAAAAAAAGTTTTTAATGAATTATTGAATGTATTTAACAGATCTTACTTCGCCACATTTGGAAACTGGAACAGATAAATCTAATCAAATGGCGTTAAGAATACCGGGTATAACTTTATCCTCTGATCAAAATCGGGACAAGAGTCACACAACAATAGGTGTTCATATGGATGATGACCATTATAATTATGAAAGTAGACCTAACAGACTTGGTTTGGAGGATTTCACGTTCATAAAAGTGCTTGGAAAAGGAAGTTTTGGAAAGGTATTAAATTATGATTTTGATTTAAATAGTTAAATACTTATTTAATTTATACATTAATACAAAATAATGCATTTATATATGAATTATATATATTAATGGCTATTTAAAGCAGATAGGTTTAAAAATCATTTCTTATAATGAAATGAATGTTATAGGTAATGCTTGCAGAGAAGAAAGGCACTGAAGATGTTTATGCTGTGAAAGTTTTAAAGAAGGATGTAATTCTTCAAGATGATGATGTTGATTGTACAATGACGGAGAAACGTATATTAACCCTTTCGGCTAAACATCCTTTCTTGACTGCCATCCATTGTTGTTTTCAAACTGAGGTATTATACATTTTGAAATTTATTTCATTTGGTAGAATTTTTAAGTACATTTTTACAGTTACAGTAAGTATTTTTAAGTATTATGTGTCATTCCTAGGATCGATTATTTTTTGTTATGGAATATGTTAATGGAGGAGATCTCATGTTTCAAATTCAAAAGGCTCGTAAATTTGATGAACCAAGAGCACGTTTCTATGCAGCAGAAGTCACGTTAGCATTGATGTTTCTACATCGAAATGGTGTAATATATAGGTACTTTCCTTTATTCATTACTAATATTAATAAATAAATAAATATAAATATATATATGTGTGTGTATCTGCTCTATATTACATTTGTTAAATTATATATTTTTTTTTCAGAGATCTGAAGTTAGATAATATTTTATTGGATAGTGAAGGCCATTGTAAGATTGCTGATTTTGGAATGTGTAAAGAAAATATTATTAATGGTGCAACAACAACAACATTTTGTGGTACTCCAGACTATATAGCCCCTGAGGTATAAAAATTGTCAAAATAATTGATTTATATTTCTTATGAGTTTTAATTATAGAAATTATAGATACTATAAGATAAAAATGTAAGATTATAAGTGATTATATTGTTTAGTTTGAAATATTATGATATAATCACAATTTTAAATTGATTTGTATATTTTTATTTTTATATCTGTGTATTCTTTTATGAAAATATCAAGGAACTCTGACCTCTAACTTTATGGATTTTTTTATTAACTTTTATATTGTTACTCTTTTGGAAACTTGGATAATGTATTCTACAAAACTTTCTTTTCCTTGTTAAATTCATTGATAAACTCTACAAAGTTTAGCACATCAGCCAGATGGACAAAAAAGACTTATTGGTGGAGTTTTATTGATCATTTTTCAGACATTTGGTTAGATTGAGATACTTACTATATTTGATAATTTTATCATAATTAAAATTATGACAAGAAATTTTTGAAGGATGTCTTAGTTTAACATTAATTCTTACATATTCTAATTTTGATAGTTTGATAGTGGATCTCAAAAGACATATTTGCCAATTATGTCAATGATGATTTTCTAACATTTAAAGATGCTAATGCTAGAATTGCTAGTGAACTGGATTTATTATATACAAGTTCTAACATGAAATCTTTTAATTTTCAATCTTCTAATGATTTACTTCTCATGTATTTTTTCCTCTCTAAAATTAAGTTTAATGAAATCTTTTAGTTTGTTTATTCTCGATGAACACTTTATAAAAGATTTTCCCATCAACTTTACATTTATGTCTTTTGCAGATACTTCAGTTATTGATTTAATTGTATCAAATTTTTAAATTATTTAAATTTCCCATTAAATTAAAGTTTTATGTAAGTTCAGTTCTGATCCCATTTCTGTCCAAAAATATTGTTTACTAAGGTTCTAAATTAGGGGATGTCTAACTCCTGATTTAGAATCTTAGTAAACAACCTTTTTGTTTCTCTGGGCCACATTGGAAGAAGTCATGGAGTTTTGGGCCACAAATGTATTACCATAGCTTAAGAACAAAAAAAAACGTAAAATATATAGTTTCCATATTTAAGTATTTTAAAATTTATTAGTTTTTTTCATTATAAATACAGAACATGGAATTCATTTCACATTGTTTTATACATTTTATGTATAAGTCAAAATCATAAAACTAATGTGATATTTGACATTGTTGTTGAGAAACTAATGCATCAATATCTGTTTTGATTGAAGTGGTTGCAATTCTCAGGCACCCTCAAGATGTTCATTTGATATTTTAGTTCTAATTTTACATTTACTATGCTTCATTCTTGAAAATAGTTGTTCACATATGTAGGTGCTTCCAAACAATGATGACATGAATAACACATGACTGTGCAGTGTGGGATATATGTCTCTGGGTAGGTATGATTTATAAAAGTCAAAGAGACGTGATCAAATTTCTTTTTAAGTTGGATGTCAGATTGCAACTCTAAGCATTCCATTTGAAAAGTTGCTGGCAGCATTACTATATCGGTAAATGGAGTTGCAAAAATACAAAAATTGAGATTATTTTTCCAAAAATCCTTAAATCTATTTTTGAATTCTTATATCAAATGGAAAAGTAAGGCTACAGATTTTTTCCCATTTTTAGGAATATGTTTGGACATTGTGTTAAAATGCAAAAAGTTATTTGCGTTTAATTGCAATAATTTCAGTTTTACCTGTAATACGTTTATGGTTTGAAACATTGCACTGATAAGTTGGTTTTTCCCTTGAAGACATGTGTTTAAGTCATTTAAATGAGCAGTCAAATCTACCAAAAATGATTGGTGTGTTTTGAGTGCGAGTGCCTTTCGAGGATATTGATAAAGCTGAAGACAACTTCGAACAGATGTCTGTGCTTAGTAGTGACCGCGGCCGGAAAGAGAAGACAAAGTTAGGACCACGCGGTTGCTGCAGATGGTCTCAAAAACAGGTACTTGTCGCCTAATGCCATTGCCAAAGTGCTCTGGGAAGCTGCTAGGTTTTTCTGCAGTGAATCTTTTTCGTCTAGCAGCTGATTATATGCCCTGTGCAGGTCGTCAAAAATTGCGGACGCCTTGTCGACGTAGGTGCGCACTTGCTCAAATTTTTCTGCTTTCTTTGATAGCAGACAGGGCAGCCTTTAGCTCTCTGTGAAACGATCAACTGGCTGTTTCGGAGTATGGTCCTGATGTTAGTTCTTCTCTGTCTGCAGACGTGTTTTTTCTGACGAAATTGTTAACGTTTTTAATTAAAATACTCTAGCAACTGATTTTTTGATAAACCTCAGATCGGAATTAAACGCTCGAGTTTTGCTCTATTGCGCGTTTCGGTCAGCTGAATTTCGGTTCCTCATTTCAACAGCGATGAGGAGAACAACCCGTTTGCCGGGAACACTTTGCCCGGGATCGGGTGCCAGCTCCTTGGAATCGCGCGACAGATGCAAGCCAGTTGGCATCTTCAAGTTCTGGCACGGATTTTGCTTTCGATGTCATAAAAGATTTAATTTCATTAAGTAGGTCATAAATCTTTTTAACATTTGTCCTCGACTGAGCCACTTTACTTCTGAAAAGTATACAATATTGGCATACTCAGCAACAACATTTTTGAGAAAGTCTTGGAATTGGCAGTGATGTAATCCCCAGGCTTTTATAAAATTCACAGTCTTGATGATGATTTGCATAACATGATCCATTTTCAAAGCTTTTCCACATAAATTTTCTTGATGTAATATGCAATGGTACTTCATCAAATGAGAATTTTTGACAGCAAATGGTATCAGCTTCTATTAATTTTACAAGCCCTTTTTTTTACCTATCATAGCTGGGGCCCCATCCATAATTACACCAGATATATTGGAAAGGGATAAAGAAAATTGCGTTAATGTTTTTTTCACTGGTTCATATAAATCTCTTGATTTTGTCGTGTCTTTTAATGGCACTAATGAGAGCATTTCTTTAGTTACACTATATTTGTCATTAATACCTCTAATAAAAATGGCGAATTGAGCCATATCAGTAGCATCAGTACTTTCATCCATGGCCAAAGAATAAAATGTAAACCCACAGGCTTTACTTTTCAAATCACTTTCGATATTTTTCCCGAGATTGTCAATTCTCTTGGGCAATAGTTTGATGAGACAAACTGATTTTAGAAATATCACCTTTCTTGTCTGGGAAAATTATATTTGCAACACTTTCATGCATTCCTCAATAAACTAGCCATCAGAAAATGGTTTTGATTTTTGGCAATTAAATTTGCAACTACATAACTAGCCTTCACAAAGGATTCTGTCTGAGTTGTAACATTACTAAAAAAGTTTTGTTGAGATATAAAATCTTTTTTTAGTACCATTACTTGGTCTTTGCGACACATCCCTTGATATGCATTGAATTTGGAAGCATGTTTTTGTGCATAATGCCTTCTCAAATTATACTCTTTGAAGATGGGTATTGAAACATGACAAATTAAGCAGAGTGTCTCACCTTTCACTTCAAGAAAAAAGTAATCCTCTGTCCATTTCTCATTAAATAACCTTTTTTCATCAATATATTTCCATTTCTTAGAAACTGTTTTTGTTCAGTCATAGAAGCCATGCTGAAGGGTAATGTTTAATAATTTTTATTACTTATTTAAAACTAATTAAAAAAAAATGTGTATTTACTTACTTTTCTTAAAAAGAAACAACTATTAAATAAATTTTAAAAATAATACAATTTGTTGTTTCACAAATAAAAACAAGAGATGATAGATACTCAATAAAAATATATTTGGTTTCCCAGCTTTATACATATTTTATTTTTGAGTGTAAAGGAAATATTTTCAAATAGTTGGAAATGTGTGAAATAAGAAGGAATCAGCATTGCCAGATGCTTTTAGTGTTTGTTGCCAAAATTTTTCTAAAAGATAGCCCAAAAGTAGCCAACTCAAAAAGTTCCTTTTTAATAACCCGAGATTTGACGATAAAGAACACACCATTCATGCTTTTCCAGCAATAACTTTAATCACAATAAATGTTTTCGGCCATTTCACAGGCCTGTAAACTGATCGGAAATAAGGATCGCAAGACTCAAAATATATACACTGTAATTTATTATGTCGAGAACACTTATTTTATCCACAAAGTAGATTGCAATGAATTATGCAACTAATGATCTTGCCAAGACGGACTGGAAAAAATTAATTTTTATATGTAATATTCTTAATAGTTATTAATTTGCTATTACAAAAGATTTATCAAACTACAATTATTTATTAATTTGAAAGTTGACTAATAGATTTCTTTATTAAACCAATATGTATTGTACATTAATAATAATAATAGATAAAGAATTCCTACATCCCACAGTACAGAAAGTAGACTACAAAAACCAATTAAAATATTAAAAACAGATATTAAATTTATCATCAAAAATAGCATAAGGAAAAATTAAAATTACTTTTAAAACATCATTTAAAACAGAAAAACAAAAACCAAATTGATGAAGTTTATTGATATATCCAAAATGCACATATTAGTTTAATAAAGATATCTCAGTGAACTTTCAAATTAAATAACTGTAGGAAAATTAATAATATCTTTACTACTTTTATTATTTAAGGATTAACATGTCTATAGTCTATTTATCGTAATTTGGCACCTACTGTAAACAAAGATTTTGTCGTATTAATCTGCCGGAGATTTTCATTGGTCAAATCACAATCGGAAGTGGCTAGACATGTGTTGCCCATTTAAGCGCTTTTCTCTGCACATGTTAATTAAAGTAGGTCAGAGTGGTTACAACAATTTAAAAATTACCGAGATAATACTTAGAAAAGTTATTATAGCCTACTTTAACATTTTTACGTAGCCATTTAAATTATTTCCATTGTTTAAATATAGTTTGTCAAAAATTATTATTAAATATATATTATTAAGATTTACACGAAACATATTTATAATTGTGTAGTTGAACGTACTTCAGAATTTTTATCTACACAACTATTTTATTAAATAGATATAAAACAAAGCAAAAAAAAATTCTCCGGCAATCCATAAAAATCATATGCAAACCTCTAAAGGAAAACTATACTGTAATGTATGAATTAATCTTTGTGATATTTATATAATTAAAAATTTTTTAAAATAATTATAGTGTAAACTTACCTTATTAATCATCTGTATCATAAGATAGTTGCTCAAAGTAATCATTTATATCCCTTTTGTCACTACTTGTGTTTGACTGAATAATCATTTTTTCTACAACAGTTTCCGAAATCTCATCAAGTTGTGACATTCATTGTTCTTTTTCTATATGTTTGATACATTTTCGATACAATTTGAAATAATGATAGTTATTGGAATGAATAGAAAACGAAACCAAAACATTATAGTGTGCATGGCTGGAAAAAGTTTATTTTTAGTGATTCAGAATGTGCAAATAGTCATTAAAATAACAATTTAACAAATATGAAATAATTACATTTATAATCATTGTTAAGTGACTAGTATTTCATTAATGATTTTATAAATAACGAAGAACTATTTTCTGCAAATGAATGCGATGCAACATGGTTTCTAATTGATGGACATGGGTTTAAACCAATAAACAAAGGGAGGTGTGTCTTAGTATGTTTACATTAGGTGCCAAGTTACGATAGACTATAGATTATAGTAATAAGTATTAAAACTTCATTGTGAAAAAGGATATTTTAAAAGATTACTTCTACAGACACTTTCAATTTTTCACTTAGAAATAGATAAATTTATTTATTATAAAGGAGATAAACAAAAATTTATTTGAAAAATACTTAAAAAATATTTGTTTTATTTGTATCTCTAATTAATAAAAAATGATGAAACATCATTTTAAAGTGCATTAAACTTTCTTCACTTCACTTCTTTATCTTTTGATAAAGAAGTGAGGAAGTTGGAAAATTAAGGGTCGATATTTGCATAACAGAAGGTCTATTTAACCTTTCTCACTACTATTTATTTTTTGGTCTTTCTCTCCTTTCCCCGAATTTGGGTCTACAATCCTTTGAGTCACAACTCCAGCTTTATTTAGTATTCCTTCCTTATTCACACATTTCCAAGATTTAAAAATATTTCCTTTCCACTCAAAAATAAAATATGTGTAAAGGTTTACGGCTTTGTAAAACTTCTTTTTTGAGTTTATGTTGTTGAAATAAAAAAATTTAAAAATTTGTCGGTTTTGTTTATACATTTATTGGGCTGCATTGGAACTTGTCTTGGGCCGCGGGTTGGACACTCGTTCTAAATGATTCTATGAAAAGAATCATTTAGAAACTTTCAAAGTTAGATGATTATTTTCTTAATGTTAGCTCTAGTTGCAATGGATTAGAAAAAGTTTTTTCAGATTCTTTTTCTGATTACTTGGCTTTGATATTTTTGTTGTTAGAATCAGTGTCTCAAAATGATAAGTTAAAGTACAATGTTTTTTAAGTTATATAAAAAAAATGGTTTGACTACAATTGCTTGAAATTAAAAATGCTTACTAATTGAGACTTGCAATCTTTTAAGAAAAATAGAACTTTAGAATCATTTACAAATTATTCTAAATTAAAGAAAAGCTTAAGTTTCTTTAGCCAAAACAATTCCTTTTTTGTTTTACAAAAGTCAATATACAATTACTGAATTCTAGAAATTCTGGTCACTTTAGAAAATTAGTCAGTAAATTTAAGATACAAAAATTATTTTGCAATGTTATTTCTATTAAGGAATGGAATATGTTTTTGAAGGAACATTTTTTTGGCTCTCTCTCAGTAAATAATTTGGATGTATGTATCTACAATTACAGTCAGTTACTAATTTCTCTCAAGTTTCTAGGATTTTGTGACCATAGGATCAGCACCTCTTTAATGCCTTGTCAAGATTGACACCACCGTGTCCTGATTGACACGGAAGCCGAGACAGTGTGTTGATTTGGTCATGTAAGCAGCCGTGTGCACAGGTGATTGGATCCAGGATGGAGATGGGTTGAGAGACAGCATACCAGAAGTAAAGTACTCAGATACGAAAGTTAACGACTAAATAACCATTTATTTTCAAAATGAAGAGGAATACATGATACAATATACAATAGATATATTAGGTTATACTGACTTAGCCTATTCTTCTAGTGGTCACGAGAGAGAGAGTTTACATGAGATACGGGCAGGATAAATACCTTGTAGAGGTTCTGAGGGTAGAGGATCTTCTAGGAGACCTTGATCTGCTGCGAGCTGGTTGGAGAGCAAGGAAGAAAGTTTTGGAGGACAGTTCTTATTCCGATAGTTCTGAGAAAACATTAGATATTATGGCCATAGGCAAGGAGGTATCCAAAAATGAGGTATCCTAAGGAGCACATGGTATCTGTAAATTAGAACACAAGGAAAAATGAGTGGTCTGATCGAGGAACTGGCGATGACTGCCTAAACTTGCAGTTTCTGGCTATATTGACTTGGAGAAATCAAGATTGTAGGTCGGGAGGTTATGAGAAAGCATCACTTTTACTGCTGAGAACTTAACAAATGATTTACTCCCAGGTGTGAAAGTTGATGTTACAACGTTAAATTGTTTACGTTAAAGTCCAATTTCTCACAATTTATTTTTGAGTCACTTGCAAAATGAAAGGTTTTTTGACTAGCCTTCTTTTTGGAAGAAAGTATTTTTAAAAATGCTACTTAAAAAGGGTTTTAGATCTATGCCAACAAATTATAGATAATATCCTTAATTAATGTGTTTAGAAAGATTTTTTCCTCTCTATATTGGTGAATTGCTTGAATCTCTGTATAGAGGAATTTGGTATTATATCCCCTTGTTGAGGAGTAATTTTGAAAAATAGAGATGTTTGTTATAGTCTCTTTATTTTTGCATGGAATTATTCAGCTAGTGTTATGTAAGAAATGCCATAAGTTATATATATGTAGGTCTTATTGATCTGAGGAAAGCCTTTGGCTCTTCAGATCAATAAGACCTACATATATATAACTTATTGTGGAAACTCAACAAGTTAGGTTTTCCAATTTGTTTATTAATTAACTTAAGCTGTTATTTTCTGATACTACATACATTCTGAAGGATAGTTTTATTTTAGAATAGATTTGTGAGCATTAAAGGATTGCCTTGGGACAAGCCTGAGTCCTGTTTTTTTTTTTTTCAATCTGTTTATAAATTATTACAACTTTTATACAAAATAAAAGAAAATAATGCTAGGCCCATAATATTATCTCCACAAATTGAATTGGATTGCCTTTGCTTTGCAGATAATAATAATTTTCTGTCAAATTTCATTGTTACCTTCAGTCAAAGCTCAATGGTTTAGTTGAATATTAAAAAAATAGCAGGTTGACAATTAATAAAACTTAATAAAAAAATGACATGTTTTTGTTGAGGAAGCTGATAATCTTTACATATCAAATAAAAAATTGGAAATAATGTCAAACTATTTTGGATGTGTTTTCTTCTCAAGGTTCATTTTCCTTTCATTTGGAGAAAGTATTGCTAGATGTCAAATTAAAATTATCAAATATAATAAAACTATTAATGAATATGAAAATACCTTTTTATTAACTATTAAGTCAAAATATCAAGATTTGATAACTTTGTTTAATTAATATTATGTGACACAAGAATACAAATCTAGACTATCCAAACTGCATCTTCACTTGTCCTTTGCACCAGGACAATGAGAACACCATCTGGATAGTCTGTGTTCATCTTCTTAATGAACTTTGCTATCATGGCCTTTCAAATGTAATATTTTCTACAGTTGTCTGTTGTTTTTTTCATTCATTAAGTTCATGTATACTTATGGAATTTTTTGTTTGCTTCTTTCCCCTTGTAAAAAGATAAAAGTGAAATTAATGAAATTATTATTATTATTATTATTAAAAATTATCTGTGAATATATAAGACAGTTTATATGATATAGTTGTTTTGTCAATGTAAATTGTTGCCTTAATATGATTTATTTAAAGATGTTTTTATTAATATTTTATACATTCTTATTGATAGATCTTACAAGAATTGGAGTATGGTCCTTCTGTTGATTGGTGGGCTTTAGGAGTATTAATGTATGAAATGATGGCTGGCCAACCTCCATTTGAGGCTGATAACGAAGATGATTTGTTTGAATCTATTTTACATGATGAAGTTCTTTATCCTGTTTGGTTGAGTAAAGAAGCTGTTTCTATTTTGAAAGGAGTAAGTATATGAACCAAATAAATTAAAAACATTTTTTCATAACCAGTTTTAAATATTTATTTATTTTAATTTTTAACAGTTTATGACAAAAAATCCAGCAAAAAGGTTAGGCTGTATTGCATCTCAGAACGGAGAACAAACTATTTTAAATCATTCATTTTTCAAAGATATGGATTGGGATGCATTAGAAGCACGCAAAGTAAAACCACCTTTTAAACCAAAAATTGTAAGTGTTTTTGTTTTTAAGTAAGAATAAAATAGCTTTAAATATAAATTACACAATATACACACAGCTATGCTATCATCAAATTTCTAGTACTCTTTTGGATTTATAGGTGATGTGACTAAGTGCAATATCTCTGAATAAATATTATACTTAAGAGCTGAAATTTGGAGTAACAAAAAATTGGAGGATTTTTGCACTAATCAATAGAACATTTATTCCTAAATAAGATTCAATAATAAAAGTTACAATTTTCTATAAGAATCGTAACATAGTAACAAACAAAAATTTTACATTTTAAAACTGAAAACTTGCAATTGTGCAAATCTGACCAACTTTTACAGAAAAATCAACAATGTTTTTATATATAACCTCTATTAACTGGAGAAACAATAGACTTACTTAAAATACACAAACTCCAACAGTAACGTGCGATATTAGTATCAAAACTAATGTTATCTGTTCTTATGCCTCCATCTTCATGTTCTGCAGTCATTCATACAATAAATTTTTTGTCAGACATATGATGATGCTTGTATCAGACATTTTTAAAAAAGACAAACTTTACATGCTGTTTAAAAATTTAGCACTTGTTACTATTGTTACTATTGCTCAGTTAGTGCTAATGATGTGTTTGCAGTGTGATATTTTTAATATCTCATATAAGGAAGGCTCTTTGTGCCTGGGCCAATGAGTTGCTGTCTTTATAGTTGATGGCCATTTCTTTCCATGCTGCCTTGTAAATTTTGATTTTTTCAAGATGCTATATTTTTTTTTTACCTGTGCATTGTAATAATTGGTTTGATCTACATGTATATGTATATCTTCTTTCAAATCTACAGTGGATAAAGCAGTGTTGTTTTGTCCCTTTTTTTTATTGATGTTATGTGCTCTTGGAGGCGTTGATGTAAAGGTCTTGTAGTGGCCTCTGTATATTATGTATTGCAATTGTTTTCCTGTTCTATTATCTGTTATTGCCACTGCATACACCCCTGGAAGGTTGGATCTGTTGATATTATCTTTGTTGTTGCAGAATAGACTATGTATCATTGGGCTTCTTTTGTATGCTAATGCAATTTTATTGGTTTTTATGATCTCCCTATAGTTATATGCTAGTTGCTTGTACAATACACTTCTATACTATTGTGGTGTTGCAGGTTTCTTATCGGTGTTATTTTGGTATTGCTTAATCGGGCCTTCGATGCTCCTCTTATTGAATCTGTGCTTTACTACTAACTGTCATATATATCTTTTAGTTCCTCACTCCTGTTTTTTTGTTCTGATGAGTAGGTATATACTCTTTTTATTAGAGATCTAAAACCTGTTATCTATTTTAAATGTGCAGGGATTGTATGAGTGGTCAGATATTAGTACTGAGAGATATGTTGGTTTCCTGTAGATCTTGGAGGATACGATGGACTCCTTGCATGTTACTTCGAGGTCTAAGAAGTACACTTTGCTAAGAAGTACATTTGTCTGGTGTTCTTGCTCCATGTTCACTCTGAGACCATACAGGTTGTTGTTGATTGTGCGTAAGAATGATTGCCTGTCCAGTTTATCTTTCCATATGATGAGAATGTCATCTACATATCTCACATATACTTTGATTCTATTTTCAATGTTTAGGAGTATCTTATCTAGGCATCTTAATCACCACTTTGCATAATGAGCCTGAGAGAGGGCTGTCCATGGGTACTCCTCTATGTTGTAAGTATGTTGTTCCTTCTAACTGGAAGAACAAGGAATAACAAACTAGATTGGCTAGCTCTAAGATGTTTTTATTGTGTTTATAAGAATTGTGTATGCTTTGTAAAAGGAAGTCCTGGAGCATACAGAAACATGGTTCAATCTTTATGGATGAACAAAGTGATTCAAAGTCACATACCATAAAATATGAGTTCTCTCCCAGTTTTTGTTATGCAAAAGTTCCACAAGGTGTGTAGAATTTTTAACTGTTCTGTGGTATGCATTTAGGTTATTTGAAATAAAGTTGTTAAGGAGCTTTTCCATTTTTATAGTAGGTGAAGAAGACTTATCAACCACAGGATGGAGTTGTTTTTCTCTCTTATGCATCTTGGCAAAGGTGAATCACATAGGGATGTATGGTGCTGGAGTAAAATTAATTTTACTTCAGTAAATTAGGGTCATACCAGAAACTTTTTCATTCTAACTGAGCCATATCCATAACTTTCTTGATTTCTCAAATTTCTGTATCTTTGTAAGTTTGGATATGTTACCGCTAAAGCTTGAAAGTCGTTACTGTGTACATTACCTAGCTAATCTGCATATTAACTAGGGTGATCCGTTAAAGTTGTGAAAATTGTTCTATTTCTCAAATTACCTAGATAATGTGCAGAGTATCTAGGTAATCCGCACATTACCTACTAGGCACTCGGTAAAGTGAAAATAAGATCTTTGCCACAAATNTTAATAGTTATTAATTTGCTATTACAAGATTTATCAAACTACAATTATTTATTAATTTGAAAGTTGACTAATAGATTTCTTTATTAAACCAATATGTATTGTACATTAATAATAATAATAGATAAAGAATTCCTACATCCCACAGTACAGAAAGTAGACTACAAAAACCAATTAAAATATTAAAAACAGATATTAAATTTATCATCAAAAATAGCATAAGGAAAAATTAAAATTACTTTTAAAACATCATTTAAAACAGAAAAACAAAAACCAAATTGATGAAGTTTATTGATATATCCAAAATGCACATATTAGTTTAATAAAGATATCTCAGTGAACTTTCAAATTAAATAACTGTAGGAAAATTAATAATATCTTTACTACTTTTATTATTTAAGGATTAACATGTCTATAGTCTATTTATCGTAATTTGGCACCTACTGTAAACAAAGATTTTGTCGTATTAATCTGCCGGAGATTTTCATTGGTCAAATCACAATCGGAAGTGGCTAGACATGTGTTGCCCATTTAAGCGCTTTTCTCTGCACATGTTAGTTAAAGTAGGTCAGAGTGGTTACAACAATTTAAAAATTACCGAGATAATACTTAGAAAAGTTATTATAGCCTACTTTAACATTTTTACGTAGCCATTTAAATTATTTCCATTGTTTAAATATAGTTTGTCAAAAATTATTATTAAATATATATTATTAAGATTTACACAAAACATATTTATAATTGTGTAGTTGAACGTACTTCAGAATTTTTATCTACACAACTATTTTATTAAATAGATATAAAACAAAGCAAAAAAAAATTCTCCGGCAATCCATAAAAATCATATGCAAACCTCTAAAGGAAAACTATACTGTAATGTATGAATTAATCTTTGTGATATTTATATAATTAAAAATTTTTTAAAATAATTATAGTGTAAACTTACCTTATTAATCATCTGTATCATAAGATAGTTGCTCAAAGTAATCATTTATATCCCTTTTGTCACTACTTGTGTTTGACTGAATAATCATTTTTTCTACAACAGTTTCCGAAATCTCATCAAGTTGTGACATTCATTGTTCTTTTTCTATATGTTTGATACATTTTCGATACAATTTGAAATAATGATAGTTATTGGAATGAATAGAAAACGAAACCAAAACATTATAGTGTGCATGGCTGGAAAAAGTTTATTTTTAGTGATTCAGAATGTGCAAATAGTCATTAAAATAACAATTTAACAAATATGAAATAATTACATTTATAATCATTGTTAAGTGACTAGTATTTCATTAATGATTTTATAAATAACGAAGAACTATTTTCTGCAAATGAATGCGATGCAACATGGTTTCTAATTGATGGACATGGGTTTAAACCAATAAACAAAGGGAGGTGTGTCTTAGTATGTTTACATTAGGTGCCAAGTTACGATAGACTATAGATTATAGTAATAAGTATTAAAACTTCATCGTGAAAAAGGATATTTTAAAAGATTACTTCTACAGACACTTTCAATTTTTCACTTAGAAATAGATAAATTTATTTATTATAAAGGAGATAAACAAAAATTTATTTGAAAAATACTTAAAAAATATTTGTTTTATTTGTATCTCTAATTAATAAAAAATGATGAAACATCATTTTAAAGTGCATTAAACTTTCTTCACTTCACTTCTTTATCTTTTGATAAAGAAGTGAGGAAGTTGGAAAATTAAGGGTCGATATTTGCATAACAGAAGGTCTATTTAACCTTTCTCACTACTATTTATTTTTTGGTCTTTCTCTCCTTTCCCCGAATTTGGGTCTACAATCCTTTGAGTCACAACTCCAGCTTTATTTAGTATTCCTTCCTTATTCACACATTTCCAAGATTTAAAAATATTTCCTTTCCACTCAAAAATAAAATATGTGTAAAGGTTTACGGCTTTGTAAAACTTCTTTTTTGAGTTTATGTTGTTGAAATAAAAAAATTTAAAAATTTGTCGGTTTTGTTTATACATTTATTGGGCTGCATTGGAACTTGTCTTGGGCCGCGGGTTGGACACTCGTTCTAAATGATTCTATGAAAAGAATCATTTAGAAACTTTCAAAGTTAGATGATTATTTTCTTAATGTTAGCTCTAGTTGCAATGGATTAGAAAAAGTTTTTTCAGATTCTTTTTCTGATTACTTGGCTTTGATATTTTTGTTGTTAGAATCAGTGTCTCAAAATGATAAGTTAAAGTACAATGTTTTTTAAGTTATATAAAAAAAATGGTTTGACTACAATTGCTTGAAATTAAAAATGCTTACTAATTGAGACTTGCAATCTTTTAAGAAAAATAGAACTTTAGAATCATTTACAAATTATTCTAAATTAAAGAAAAGCTTAAGTTTCTTTAGCCAAAACAATTCCTTTTTTGTTTTACAAAAGTCAATATACAATTACTGAATTCTAGAAATTCTGGTCACTTTAGAAAATTAGTCAGTAAATTTAAGATACAAAAATTATTTTGCAATGTTATTTCTATTAAGGAATGGAATATGTTTTTGAAGGAACATTTTTTTGGCTCTCTCTCAGTAAATAATTTGGA